AGATGAGGTCTTGCTCTGTTGCCCAGGCTGGAGTGCAGTAGCACAATCTCGGCTCACTGCAGCCTCTACCTCCCGGGTTCAAGCAATTCTCCCGCCTCAGCCCCCCAAGTAGCTGGGATTACAGGGGTGTGCCACCACGTCCGGCTAATTCTTGCATTTTTAGTAGAGACAGGGTTTCACCATGTTGGGCAGGCTGGTCTCGAACTCCTGACCTCAGGTGATTGGCCTGCCTTAGCCTCCCAAAGTGCTGGGATTACAGGTGTGAGCCACCGCGCCTGGCCAATAACCTTAATTTCTTAAAATGTCATTAAGAAATAACCTTTAGCTGGCAGGAGCCCTAAGCCACAGTTCTAATAATTCAACTGTTCTCATTTTTCTGTCTTCCTTTCTAGTTCTTTCCTATAGGAATATGCAAATTAAAAACCAATTAAGTTAATTTTTAAAATCCAATGCATATCTTGAAACCATATAGAGAAGAATCTGGGTTCACTAGAGAGATCTCTATAGGCTTCATTCATCAAAGGTCAGGCCTGGGTCTCCCACAGCAGTGGGGCCAGCTATGGAGTTTGCAGGGCTGGTGCAAAACAAAAATATGGACCTCTTGCACAAAATTTACTAAGAATTTCAAATGGTGGTGGCAGAGCCCTGAACCCAGCTTGATCACATGCCTGTGCCACTGTGTCTGGGGTGTTCTGAAGGTGTCCTGGAAAGGGCTCTGACCTTTGCCCTTCCATCTTCCGTGTGCCATGGCTGTCCAGCCTCCAGGTTCATGGCCTATCACAAGGCCCTGAAAAACTCACAGGATTACACAGAAGCTCTGCGGGCAGCTCGGGAGCTGGCAGCCAACATCACTGCTGACCTGCGGAAGGTGCCTGGGACAGACCCAGCTTTTGAGGTCTTCCCCTACACGTGAGGACCTGAGTGGCTGAGCTAGAGGGAGGTGGGGGATGGTTGCTGGAGATTGGAGGTTAGGGCGGAGGGCTTGCAAGGAGTTGCATGAGATGAGCACCAGTTTTAGGTCAGGAGGCTCTGGCTGCAGACTTGGGCCTATTTCTTATGCTGGTTTGTACCCCAATATAAGCCTGCCTGACCCTCAGCATTCTCCTTCTGAAGTGGGGTGTCCCACCCACCTTGAGGGCCCCAGAGGCCTGAGCTTGTGACCATGCTCTGTACTCTGGCAGGGTCACCAATGTGTTTTATGAGCAGTACCTGACCATTCTCCCTGAGGGGCTCTTCATGCTCAGCCTCTGCCTGGTGCCCACCTTCGCTGTCTGCTGCCTCCTGCTGGGCCTAGACCTGCGCTCCGGCCTCCTCAACCTGCTGTCCATCATCATGATCCTCGTGGACACCGTTGGCTTCATGGCCCTGTGGGGCATCAGTTACAATGCTGTGTCCCTCATCAACCTGGTCTCGGTAACCCAGCAGACACAGGCACCAGGGGGCCCTGGAGGGGTGGTTGGGGATCCAGCCTCATAGAATACTCCCAGTTCCTTTTTTTTTTCTTTCTTTTTTTTTTAGAGGCAGGGTCTTGCTCTGTTTCTCAGGCTTGTGCAGTGACATGATCACAGCTCACTGTAGCCTCGAACTCTTGGGCTCAAGCGATCCTCTGACCTCAGCCTCCCAAGTAGCTGGGACTACAGGCACGTGCCGCTGTGTCCAGCTAATATTTTAATTTTTGTTGTAGAGACAGGGTCTCACTTTGTTGCCCAGAATGGTCCCAAACTCCTGGGCTCAAGTGATCTTCTCACCTGAGCCTCCCAGTGTTGGGATTATAGGTATGAGCCACTATAATGGCTCATTGGGATTATAGGCACGAGCCACTTGGCACCCGGCCAAATACTCTGTCTAGAATTTAATGCCTGCCCCGCGCTGGTCCTGGTGGAGGCCTCATCTCCCCAGTTCCTTCCCTACCTCTGCCTTTCTTGGCTTATGCCCCCTCTCTGCCCATAGGCGGTGGGCATGTCTGTGGAGTTCGTGTCCCACATTACCCGCTCCTTTGCCATCAGCACCAAGCCCACCCGGCTGGAGAGGGCCAAAGAGGCCACCATCTCTATGGGAAGTGCGGTGAGTGGGGAGGAGTGGGCCACCCTGTGCCCCACTCGACACCCTGTGCCCTGCTTGATGCCCTGTGCCCTGCCTGACACCTGGTTCTGACCCCCCAGGTGTTTGCAGGTGTGGCCATGACCAACCTCCCTGGCATCCTGGTCCTGGGCCTTGCCAAGGCCCAGCTCATTCAGATCTTCTTCTTCCGCCTCAACCTCCTGATTACTCTGCTGGGTCTGCTGCATGGCTTGGTCTTCCTGCCTGTCATCCTCAGCTATGTGGGTGAGTGCCCCGGCCTGTTCCTACCAGGCTGTCATGATTATCATGACGACAACAGTAACAGTGCATGCTTACCACGGAAGCTCAGGAAGTGCACACAAGCCATGGGCAGACGTCAGAAGCCAGGACCATGACCATGTGGCACTTCTAGTCTTTGAAGCTTCTGTTGTTCATTTAATGTGCTGTGAACATCTTTCTTTTGTCAGCAATGTATGTCTCAAACAACGTTTCTGTGGCCCTGTACACTCTGGATCTTCACGGCACTGCTGTTGGACTTTTAAGCATGCCCTTCAGCAAGAAATATGTTTTATACCCAGAGGTGACACGCACAAGCACACACAGACATGCCTGCCTGAAACAGATGCTTCACTAAATAATATTAATACTTCTCTTATACATGTGAAGCATTCTGATATTTCTGGTTCCATTCTATTATTATTATTATTGTTTTTGGAGACAGGGTCTTGCTCTGACACCCAGGCTGGAGTGCCGTAGCATGATCACAGCTCACTGCAGCCTTGACTTCCCAGGCTCAAGTGATCCTCCCACCTCAGCCTCCCGAGTAGCTGGGACCCCAGGTGCACATCACCATGCCAGCTAATTTTTTATTTTTTTTGTAGAGGTGGGGTCTCCCTGTGTTGCCCAGGCTGGTCTCAAACTCCTGAGCTCGTGATCCACCTTGGCCTTCCATAGTATTAGGATTACAGGTGTGAGCCACTGTGCTTGGCTTTTATTTTAATTTAAATTTATTATTTATTTTATTTTAATTGATTGAGATGGAGTCTCACTCTGTCGCCCAAGCTGGAGTGCAGTGGTGTGATCTCAGCTTCTTGCAACCCCTGCCTCACAAGTTCAAGCCATTCTCCTGCTTTAGCCTCCCAAGCAGCTGGGATTACAGGTGCGGACCACTACGCCTGGCTAATTTTTTTAATTCATTTTTTATTTTTAGTAGAGATGGGGTTTCACCATGTTGGCCAGGCTGGTCTCGAACTCCTGACCTCAGGTGATTTGACTGCCAAGGCCTCCCAAAGTGCTGGGATTACAGGCATGAGCCACTGTGCCCCAGCCCTATCATTAATTTTTTTTTTTTTTTCTTTAAGACAAGAGCTTCGCTCTGTTGCCCAGGCTGGAGTGTGGTGGTGCGATCTCAGTTCACTGCAACCTCTGCTTTCTGCGTTCAAGCAATTCTCCTGTCTTAGCCTCCTGAGTAGCTAGGATATCAGTGCACACCACCATGCCTGGCCAATTTTTGTATTTTTTTTAGAGACAGGGTTTCACCATGTTGGTCAGGCTGGTCTCGAACTCCTGACCTCAGGTGATCCCTCTGCCTTGGCCTCCCAAAGTGCGGGCCTCCCAAAGTGCGGGGATTACAGGCGTGGGCCACCGCACCCAGTCTCATTAATTTTTTGAAATGCTGGCCAGGAGTGGTGGCTCATGCCTGTAATCCGAGCACTTTGGGAGGCTGAGGCGCATGGAGGCTCAAATTAAGCCTCCCAGGATGAAGGTGTTTCTGGCTCTCCGGGTGGGCAAGCTGGGAGGAGTTCAATTTTACCCCCCACCAGATGGTAATAATAATATTACTAGAGGACATTTATAGAGGGGTGTGTTTGTGCATCAACATATGTGTCTGTAATTCTCTTAACTACCCCCCCGAGGTAGGCATCATTATCCTTCCCTTTTTACAGATGAGGGAACTGAGACACCTGCCCCAGGTTACAGACGTGGTCAAAGGTAGCAGGGGTTGGAGCCCACGCAGCTCCATGGTTCCTAAACATGTCTCTTGTGGGGACTCCCTGACCCTCTTGGAAGGAGTAGAGTGTGTGTGCTAGGGGTGGTGGGTGAGACATAAGAGAGGGGCAAGGAGGAGCAGTTGTGGGGTGTGCTTGGACGAGGGGTATCCAGGGCCTTGGAGCTGCACGTGGTGGCTGTTCCTCGGAGGCTCCCAACATGCTTGGGGGATGGGGGACCAGGACATCCCTGAAGCTTGGGCTGCAAATGTAGTGACCCCAGAAGGCACATGGCACAGAGCCCCCCTGGGACCCTTCCTGCCTTGGGTTTGTTGTACAGAACCAGGAGTAGCTTCTCACCTGTGTCCCCTGCCCACCTCTCTGACTGTGGTTCTCTGTCTCACTGCAGGGCCTGACATCAACCCAGCTCTGGCACTGGAGCAGAAGCTGGCTGAGGAGGCAGCAGCGGCAGCCATAGCGGCCTCCTACCCAAATCACCCCTCCCGAGTCTCCACAGCTGACAACATCTATGTCAACCACGGCTTTGAAGGTTCTATCAAAGGTGCTGGTGCCGTCAGCAACTTCTTGCCCAACAATGGGCGGCAGTTCTGATACAGCCAGAGGCCCTGTCTAGGCTCTATGGCCCTGAACCGAAGGGTTATGAGGGTCTTCCCTGTGACTGTCCCTTGACACATGCCCTTCTCAAATCCTAGGGGAGGCCGTTCCCATGAGACTACCTGTCACTGGAGGATGGCCTGCTCTTGAGGCATCCAAGCAGCACCACTGATGGCTCCTCTGCTCCCACAGTGGGTCCCCAGTTTCCAAGTCACTAGGCCTTGGGCAGTGCCTCCTCCTTCTGGGCCTGGGTCTGGAAGTTGGCAGGAACAGACACACTCCATGTTTGTCCCACACTCACTCACTTTCCTAGGAGCCCACTTCTCATCCAACTTTTCCCTTCTCAGTTTCTCTGTCAAAAGTCTTAATTCTGTGTCAGTAAGTCTTTAACACGTACTAGTGTCCCTGAGAACACAGACAGTGACCACTGCCCTGGGTTGTGATATCACAGGAGGCCAGGGAGGGGCAAAGGCTCAGGCCAAGAGTCAACGCTGTGGGAGGCCGGTCAGTAGCCACTCCCTCCAGAGCGCACCTGCAGGTCTGCCATCTACGGCCCTTTCTGGCAAGAGAAGGGCCCAGGAAGGATGTTCCCATAAGCACGTTGGTCATGGATTAGCCCCTCCTGGGAAACGGTGTTGGGTTTGGTCTCCAGCTCCGACTCTTATTAAGGCTGTTGCTGCCAGTCAAGGCCACCCAGGATTCTGAAGGCTGGGAGCTCTTGGGGCTGGGCTGGTCCTCCCACCTTCACCTCAGGCCTGGAGCCCAGGCCTCAAACCAGCCCAATCCGAGCTCTTGGACAGCTCTCCAGAAGCATGAACTGCAGTTGAGATGAAGATTCTGGCTTGGTACTGTGCACATGGGTGTTTAATAAACATTTGTTGGCAGAAATGGTGTTTTATGTCACATGTCCTACCCTGGCTGCCTCTTGGCTTAAGATAATTTTTGTGAATGACACAAATAATATATGTGTGGGAGAGTGATTTGTGGAGATACTAGTGTGTTTTGTTCTATTTCTCCCCCCTCTTTTCAAGAAAGTAGTCAGGCCATTGTGTGCTCATGCTTTACAAGGGCCTTTGAGGAGTGGGAGTAATTTCCCTTCAAACTGGGAGGGCACAGAGCCTGAGAGTCAGTCAGGAGTAGGATGTGCAGCCCCTTCCTTTCTGGAACAGCCTGTGAGGTAGGCAACACCTGGAGGAGCTAGAGGAGAACCACGGTGCACTCAGGGAGGGAAGAACCCACCATCCAAATGACCAGCTCCCAGGAGGGCCCCAGGCCAGGGCAGTGGGTAGAAATGTCAAGGAATATTCCAGATCCCCTCGAGTCTTTCTGCTCCCCGCTGGGTCCAGCCCTTGTTTGGCTGAGGGGCTGTTGTTGCTCTGAGGCTCAGAGGGACTGTTGGCATGTAAAGGGAAGACAAGCAAAAAGGGGTGGAAAGGAACTGGCGTTTCTAGAGCCTACTATCTACTCTCGGGTCCTCATAAGAGCTCCATGTGCCAGCATCAATGGCCCACCTTTGGGAGGGTTGCTGGCTGGCCATGATGGACAGGAGGTCTGGTGAAGGGACAGCTACCAGGGAATAGAGGCTGAGGAGAAATCGCACAAGTCACCCTGTTAAAAACTCCACGGGTGCAGAATAAACAGATAGATCTGAGGAACAAAATAGCTTTTGACAGCAGACATTTCAAATCAGAGGAAAGGGTAGACCCTTCAGTAAATGGCATGAGAGTAGTGAGCAAATTATTTGGATCAAAATAAAGTTATATCTATACCTCACACAATACACAAGATAAAAGTACAGACAGATTAAATAACTAAATACAAAAATGAAACTATACAACTATCAGAAGGAAACACAGAAGAGTATGTTATAATCTTGGGGTGGGAAAAGTTTCCAAACACAAAGTCCAGAAGCCATAAAGGTAAACACTAAGGTATTACCATATAATAATGGAAAACGTCTGTAAACACACAAACAAAAAAATTAAAGAAAGTTGAAAGACACATATGAGCTCAGAAAAATAGTTGCAACGTATTTAACATCAAATAAAATCAAGAAAACACAGAGTGCCAGTAGCGCTCCTGCAAACATGGTGAACATTCCTAAAACTCACTGGACTTTCTGTAAGAAGTGTGGGAAGCACCAGCTCCACAGAGTGACACAGGATACATTTCCCTGTATGCCTAGGGAAAGCCATGTTATGACAGGAAGCAGAGGGGCTACAGTGGGGAGACTCAGCCAATTTTCCAGAAAAAGGCTAAAACTACAAAGAAGATTGTGTGAAGGCTTGAGTGCGTGGAGTCCAACTGCAGATCTAAGAGAATGCTGGCTATTAAGAGATACAAGCATTTTGAACTGGGAGGAGGTAAGAAAAGAAAGGGTCAAGCGACCCAGTTCCAAGTGTCATCTTTTGTTTTATTATGAAGACAATAAAATCTTGAGTTTATGTTAAAAAAAAAAAAAAAGAATACATAAAGAGAGTCCAGGTATGGTGGCTCATGCCTGTAATCTCAGCACTTTGGGAGGCTGAGGCAGGAGAATTGCTTGAGGCCAGGAGTTCAAGACCAGCCTAGGCAACATAGCGAGATACTGTCTCTACAAAAAGTTTAAAAGTTAGCCAGGCTAGCTACTTGGGAGGCTGAGGTGGGAGGATTGCTTGAGCACAAGAGTTTGAGGCTGAGGTCAGTTAGGATGGCACCACTGTACTCCAGCCTGAGTGAAAGAGTGAGCTTCTGTCTCAAAAAGAAAAAAAAAAAAAGAATATACAAAGAAAGGCAGGAGTGGGGAGGGGTCTGGGTTATGTGGCTAACCCTCCCATTAGAAATAACAGAAATTCTAGCTAAAATAAATCTTAGCCGTGTGTGTGTGTGTGTGTATGTGTCTGTGTATGTGTCTGTGTGTGTGTATGATGCATACAAGTTTAGAGTGTTTTAACCTTCTTGATAAATTGAGATTTTTATAGTTTGAAATGACTCTAAAAAATCCCTCTTTATCTCTAGTATTTATTTTTGTCTGTTTGTTTAAGAGATGGGGCTCTCACTTTGTTGCCCAGGCTGGTCTTGAACACTTGGCCTCAAGGTATCCTCCTACCTCAGCCTCCCAAGTAGCTGGAATTACAGGTATGAGTCACCATGCTCAGTCCTATCTGTAGTATTTGTTCAACTGTATAACGTTATTTTATATGTGCGTATGTATATATATATACACACACATATATAAAATAACATACAGTTGAACAAATTTTATACTTAATAGTCAAACATTGAAACCCTTTCCCCTGAGATTGGGAATGAGACAAAGTTGACCACCTTTACCCACTATTGTACTGGAGGTCTTAGCCATTGTAATAAGGCAAGAAAAATAAATTAAGGTCACAGGCTGGGCACGGTGGCTCACGCCTGTAATCCCAGCACTTTGAGAGGCCGAGGCGGGAGGATCACGAGGTCAGGAGATCGAGACCATCCTCGCTAACAGGGTGAAACCCCATCTCTACTAAAAATACAAAAAAATTAGCTGGGCGTGGTGGCAGGCACCTGTAGTCCCAGCTACTCGGGAGGCTGAGGCAGGAGAATGGCGTGAACTCGGGAGGTGGAGCTTGCAGTGAGCCGAGATTGCACCACTGGACTCCAGCCTGGGCAACAGAGTGAGACTCTGTCTCAAAAAAAAAAAAAAAAAATAAGGTTATAAGGGTTAAAAATAAGTAAAATTGACATCATTCACAGATACATAAATGTGTATAAAAAAGGTTCAGGCTAGGTGCAGTGGCTCATGCCTGTAATTCCAGCAATTTCTGAGGCCAAGGCAGGAGGATCACTTGAGGCCAGGAGTTCAAGACATAGCAAGACCCCACCTCCACAAAAACTTTTTTTAAAAAGATCCAAAAGAATCTATATATAAACTATTGGAATTACTCTAACAAAAGATGGTCAAGAAAACTATGAAAAATAACCAATTTGTAATTTAATTTGTGTAATATTCAGAGAAATTAACTGTCAAAAGAAATGGAGGAATATACCATGAACTGAGGGCTCTATACTACAGAGATGTCAATTCTCTTCAAATTAATTACTAGTTTCACCATAATTTCAATCATAACCCCAGAAAATTTTTATGGAAACTGATAAGCTGATTCAAAAATTCATATAGAACCACAAAAGATGAAAATTCACCAAGGCAATCTTGAAGAAAAACAAAGTCAGAGAACTTACACTACCAGAACTCAAGATATTATAAATATACAGAAATAAAGATAGTGAGATTTTGGCACAAGGAAGGACAAATAGAATAATGGAAAGAATACAAGGTCCAGAAACAGATGATATCCACAAGGACACAAGATTTATGATGGAGGAGGCATGCACAGCATTGGGTAAAGGAGGTTTTTCAATGCATGATGCTGACCTAGTTGGGTATCCATACAGAAAGAAATGAATCATGATCCTCCTCCCCAAGATACACAAAAATCAGTTTCTGATAGATTGTTGATCTAAATGTGCAAGATAAAATGATAGAATTCTAAAAGATAGCATAAGAGAGTATCCCCAAGACTGAAATAGGAGAAACTTTTCTTAAGAAACAAAAGCCTTACTTACAGAGAAAAAGATTGATAAATTGAACTGTATTGAAATTAAAAAAAAAAAAAAAAACCTGTTCAACAAAACACATCCTTAGGAGAGATAAAATTCAAACCATAGAGAGGAAAATATATTTGCACATATCTGAAATACGTGCATATCTGAGAAAGGGCTTACGTTTAGAATGTATAAACAAACTCCTACAACTCAGTAAGAAAAAGACAGACAACTGAAAGAAAAGCTAGGCTGGCTACTTAAACAAGCAAATGGCCAATACAAGTTCCTCAACTTTGTTAGTCACCAGAACAAGGCTGAGTAAAAGCACAGTGGGAGTTCTTCCTCTTCCCTTCCCTCACAATTTGGCCTACAGGCCATGGGGTAAGGTGGGGCCAGGCAGCACATGTGGGGTGTCAGAATCCAGGTGGTGTGGAGAGGGATTCCACTTTGGATCTGAGGGAGGACAGGAGGGCATTCCACACAGAATAGGAGCTACATAGGCCCAGTATGGGGCTAAGATGTCAGAACTGAGCTCTGATGTGCCTTTCTCCATGAGCAGAGGGGCTGAATGTGGGAGATGGAGGGTGGAGGAAAGGTTCAGAGCCATCTAGAGATGGCAATTCAGAGGAAAAGGGAGGGCAGATAATCTCACTCCTCACAGTGAGGCAGAGTTTCCAAGCTGGTTTTGTCACTCCTCTGTTGGGCCCCTTTGGGTAATATATTTGACTTACCTTGGCTTTAGTTTCTTTTTTTTTTTTTTTTTTTTGACAGAGTCTCACTCTGTTGCCCAGGCTGGAGTGCACTGGTGTGATCTTGGCTCACTGCAACCTCTGCCTCCCAGGTTCGAGTGATTCTCCTGCCTCAGCCTCTCGAGTAGCTGCAACTACAGGCACCTGCCACCATGCCTGGCTAATTTTTGTATTTTTAATAGAGACAGGGTTTTGCCATGTTGACCAGGCTTGAACTCCTGACCTCAGGTGATACACCTGCCTCAGCCTCCCAAATTGCTGGGATTACAGGTGTGAGCCACCACACCCAGCCTGGGTTTGGTTTCTTTATCTGTAAAAACGGGGATAGTTTAGCTGGGCACAGTGATGCTGTAGTCCCAGCTACTTGAGAGGCTGAGATGGGAGGATCTCTTGAGCCTAAGAATCGCAGGTCAGTCTGGGCAACATAGCAAGACCCCATCTGAGAAAAAAAAAATTAGTGGCTGAGCACAGTGGCTCACTCCAGCAATCCCAGAACTTTGGGAGGCTAAGGTGGGAAGACTGCTTGAGCCCAGGAGTTTGAAACCAGCCTGGGAAACACAGAGAGACCAC